GATATAGTAATATCAACCACTTTTGATCCAAAAAAAAAAAAAAAAAAAAAAAAAAAAAAAAAAAAAAAAAAAAAAAAAAAAAAAAAAAAAGACACAAGAAAAGAAAGGAGGAAAGGACATAAGAAAGGGAAAGAAGCAAAAACAACAGCAAAAAAGCAACCTCAGGCAGAAAAAAGTAAAGAGAATCGAGAAAAAAAAAAGAATATAGAAGGAAAAAAGATAAGAAGGGTATCACAGAAAGTAGTCAATCACCGGACTCTGGCCATCCTTGTTCTGCTGCGCCTGCTGCTCGCCCCGATGGATATCATTTTCCGGCGCGGCGTCAAAGATATTGAAATACCGTTCGCCTGTATCACTAACCTCCAGGACACTAGCCAGGTTTCCGCACCGGTAACAGTAGTTCGGTGCACTCCAGACCGTACTGAGCCGGTCATCGTAGAGAACTTGATATCCCTCCTGACACAGCTGGTGAGCCCGTAGAATATGCGACATGCTGTTGACCTCGAGAAATTTGCGGACCACCTGCGCACCGAACGTATAGCCCGCTCCACGCGGCGACAGGGAGAATTCATCCCGTTCGGTGTCGGGATCCGACCAAACTAGATCAGCCATGGGACCTTCGTGTGGGATTTCGCGGAACCGGTCGATGATTTTGATTTGGTCGATGGAGTGGATGGATGGGGACAAGCCGCCGTGGACGCAGAAGATCTGGTCATTGATGACCACGCTGAGGGTCAGGAAGTCGAACATATCCGTGAAGTAATGCCAGACGTTGGCATTGCCGTATTTGCGCGCGCATTCCGTGTAGAATCCGTATGATTGCGTTACACCACGCGACTCGTGATTGCCGCGGATAAGATGGACGCGCTGGGGGTATCGCAGTTTCAAGCACACGAGGAGGGAGATTGTCTCCACGCTGAACAAGCCTCGATCAACGTAGTCGCCTGTTTGGGTGAGAAAAAAGAACGTCCGTCAGCACTCATGCTCGCACATAAACCGAATTATCTCTGGGGATCGGCACGCCTTTTCTTGTTGCTGCCCATTTCCCTTCTTTCCCGCCAACCACCAGTATAATATCACGCGGAATACTAACCAAGAAACAAGTAGTTTGTATTGGGACAGAACCCTCCGATCTTGAATATCTCAATCATGTCGAAGAACTGTCCGTGGATATCTCCGACCACCGTGACCGGAGCCGCAATGTGGACGACATTGCTCTCTTTCATCAACAGTTCCTTGGCCTTGGCGCATATCGCTTCGATCACCGAGTCTGCCAGCAACTCTTTCCGGTAGAGTCTCTCAATGCACTCGTCGAGGTCGATACTAGCTGATCCAACGGTGAGGGGCCGCACAGGACGAGTAGAGGGGGGGGGTGGGGGGAATGCTTACCTGGTAATCCAGGCATTTTTCGGAGTAGATATATTAATCAACTCAGAAGATTCAAAGATATCTGTATACTCATGCAGTGCGCAATGTTCGATTGCGCTCAATAATAGAAAATGGAGGCTCAGAAGTCCACCGAAAGTCGTGTATAGGTGCCCAAAAGGAAGGAGAAAAAATCAACGGATTGAAGACACCGCTATTATAAGCGGAGAGTGAATAGTAGTCGTTCCGATTCGAGAAGGGATATGTTTGTTTGAGAGGTTCCTGCAGTAGCTCGCATCATGGCCAACGGCACACAGTACGCAGGAGCAGGAGTGAGCGTCTCACAGGGGGCGACCTGTGACCGGTGAGGGAAGAGCAGGGTCTAGACGCGGGTTCGGAGGGGTGTCAGTTAAAGTTCGGAGAGCTTGCGCTGCACTCAATCCATATTTCGGAAAGAATCTGTACTTCTAACAGATGGGGATGAAGCAAACCAGGATTATCGACAGGCACAAAGCCCATTCAACCCGCCGAGGGATTCCTGGCTACATTCTGCCGGGTGGCACCGCCTGCTGTTCCGTCCGCATCATCGATGAAGTTGGAGGTGTGAATATCCCGTACATCACTTGTCTCGGTGGGTTTGCTAGCAACTAACTGTCAGAATACTGTATTATGCATAATGTCTTTGAGATCTGGTGCCTTGGAGGTGCGAAAGATCTCCTGCCAGCACCCATTCTCTGTACTAGAGTGAAGTATTTGAATACAGAGTGCAGGCCGTCACATCTAGAATTGGAAGTATATCAAGTTGGTCTATGCAGCTAATCTGTACAAATGCTCTTCCCATCTCTCCAATTGGGTATCACTGCTTCAAGAGTCCTGCACTCTGCCCCTGCTCTTCTTCATCCGTCTCATATTCTTCATCTGTTTCCTCCTCTTCGTCCGTTTCCTCGTCCGTCACTTCCTCGTATTCAGAGTCGGTTACCTCTTCCTCTGTTTCTGTCTCTTCCTCAGTCTCCGTCTCGGGCTCATCAAGCCACTGGTCGAGTGACTTCCCCTTCGCTGAGGAGGCACCCGCTACTCCGCGACCATCCCGTTGCCTGCCTGAAGTTGCAGCGGTACTTTCATGCTCCTTGAGGGCTCGATCAAGCCGCTCGCCTGCAGTCAATGAGGACTTTTCTACCACGTTTGGTTTAATATCATTCTCTCGGAGGCGTGGGTCGGGCTCTTGTCCGGACTCAACCCATTCAGGGAGGCTTTGATAGCCATTCAGGCCAAGCATTCCAGCGTCGGGACCAACGACGAGGGTCGAGGAGCCAATCAGCCAATCTTTGCGTGTTTCTGACGGGCTTGGGGCGTGTGGTACGGGCTTCGGGGCAAGTAGGAGCAGATTAGCCAGTTGTGTAGAAGAAGGAGAAGCGAGCAAAGCCTTGTATAGGCGGGCACGGTCGCGGAGATCGTAGGAAGGATCATATCGAGCAAGGAGAAGAAGGTACCGCCAGAGCAGCGTCATCCTATCTTCTTCAGGTTCATCACTCTGTGGTTTCTCGTCGCCTGAATCCTCTTTCCGCTCCTCTTCGTTCTCCGTCCACTCGTTGACGATCTTCTCAGGCTTGGGTTCTGGTGGTGGCACCTCCTTTGGAGGGTTTCGCAACAGATGATGCAAATATACCTTAGCACCCAGGAGGATGATCTGCTGCTTAACAGCCTCGGATTCATTTGCAAAATCTTGTACCAGAATGCGCAGGATATCGGCCGCAATATTTCTCTCAGGCGCGACACCAGCAAATTCTCCGACCAGCCAAACAATGGTTGCTCTGGCATCGGGATTCTTTGTTAATCCCAAATGCTTGACAAGCTGAATCACTGTCTTCTCGTGTGAAGGTGGGTCCTGCTGAATGAGGTGTCTAATAACGGTCAACGACTCTGAAACAAGATTGTCGTCTAGACTCGTAACTTGGCTCAAAAGGACGCGGAGACAATGATCAGCACTTCGAGGTTCACTCTGTGCGCAGCGCCCTATAGCACGCACGCTTTCTCGTACTAGGTCTGGGTCTGAGCTCTGAGAAAAGTGTTCCAGTTCGCTGAGGATCACGCCCTTCAAGTGCAGCCCGCAGTGGGGAAAGAGTAAAGTGAGTACCTCCAGCTTGAGGCGCCAGATATGAGGCGGATCTACCGCGTGGACCAGGAAGTGCGTAGTGTATTTCGTAAACGGCTTGGGGTGTTTTAGGGCAACGGCGACAATGTTATATAGCGCAACGTGCTGCGTATCCTGTGGGCTCCGAACCAGCGCAACTAGAGGACCAACGGCGGCATCAAGATACTCTGGAGTGCCGAGGTAAAGGAAACACCGGACAACGCCAACAATCACAGCGGAGTTACGATTTTGCAGCAACAGCTTGCAAGTACGTAAGAAGAACTCAAGATCAGGATCCAGCACAAGCACTTCATGCTCGTTATCATCACCATTGCTCTCCGGCGCCTTATCGTCCTCGTAGAAGCCTTCGGGGATTGCCTGTTTACCTTTCTGGACCTTGCGAGGGAAGCACTTCCTGGCGTAAAAGGTCAGAAGACGCAGGGTTGAGAGTTGGCTCCATTCGTCCATGTCGACGAGCTTCTTGACAAGGCTTCGGTAATGCTTATGGATGAGATCGATTCTGTCCGGACAAACATCTAGGAAAGCGGCGACAGCAGGCCCGAGGACAAAGTACTGACTATCACCGAGCAAAGTAGCAAGATACCCAATCAGCTGAGGGAGTGTACTCGGGTCCAGGCGATAACACTTTGGAATTGCCAGTGCTGCGGCTTTGCGAACATGTGGGCTCATGTCGCCGCAGCCTCTTTTGATAGCAAGGGACACAATCTGACTGATGACTGGCACTCTGATTCCGGACATTGTACGAAGCGCCATAGCCCGTGAGTGGGGGTTCTGATCGGTAAGCGACTTCTGGATGGCATTGATAGATAGGAGCGCAAGGTCCGGTTCCGCCTCCGCATGATGGACCAAATAGATGTAGACCAACTTCTTAACCTCAAGATTCGAACTAGCGACATTTTTGACCACAGCCGAGAAGAAAGGAAGGGAGGGTTCGGATCGATACATCAACTATATGGCGCAAGAACAAAAGAGCGTTAGACAATGGATTCTTGCATTGAGGCATCTCGAGGCCTTACCGTAATCACCCGGCGCATGCCATCCAGGACCTCCCGGTCATTCCGACTATCCAGAAGCTTTTTGATGTGAGCAGTAGCCAAATTCCGAGACGATAAACCCGTGCTAGACCCCTTACTCAGGGCTGCTGATTGGGCTGCTTCGAGGGTGAGCTCACGAGCTGCTCGCACGACCAGTTAGTTGATTTGTCCAAATGCGGAGGACAATTGGCGAGCAACTGTCCGCGGTGACATTACCTGTTTCCAGCATCGTGGATATTCTGGAAATGGTCTCCATCTTGGCCCCGAGGTCCTTCGCATAGGCGCAATAACAGATCAGACCTGGGGAGGGGGATGTCCCTAATAGAGGGGAGCTGGAGGAAGTTGGAAGTTCCGCGGCGGCGGGCGGGCAGCTGACATGACGATTGGGTAACGTGCTTAACTACGGCTACTTTCCATCATCCGCTAATCCCACTTGCTATCTCGGTAACCCTCACCAAAGCAGGAGATTAGGAGAACCTATTATTCTTCAACCCCCTAATTTATCATTCGTATCAATGCTATCTATCTAATTTCTACATGGAATCTACTATTATGATAACTGCAGTAAACAACCAGATGTCTCGACGGCTTTTGGTGGGAGAGGCTCATGACTTACGGCGTCATGTCTGTGTGACTGAGAAGTCGCTTTAGAGCATGACAACTCCATTTGTTGCTTTTACGCCGTGTTTTGATATGAAGAAAGCAATATGCTGGATAGAGATGACGTGATCAGCGAAGTCCAGCAAAACTTGCTCATACATCAACACCAGGTGATGGGTCATGGCCTGAAGCCACGAAGTTGGCTAATTGGCTCCTATCCATAGAACGGTAGAGTAGGATGACCCCTTTATCCCAGACATCTTAGTCTACATCATTCAAACCCTCGCCATCGTGAATAATCCCTTTACAATCTTCACTTTACTTGTGATTCTAGGCACGCTGCTCGCCGTTCCCACAACGGACTCTCGTGGCACAGCATCATCGTCTTTGATCTGGGTTTCCTGCCCGAGAGGATCGCCGTCAGCATCAGAGCTGGAAAGCGCTGATACCTTCCATGCTCGCACAAGTCCGAGGCAAATGCATGCTGCCATAAACATGAAGCCAACAAATATCTGGGCATGCAGGAAGTTAGTTCCGTTGTCGGTGCGTAGCCAAAGAGCGATCGGTTCAGCAAATGTGCTCGGGATGACGACTGAAAGCCAGAAGATCGACAATGCAGATGGCAAGAGTTGTAATCCCACAACCTCCGCGCCAACTGGAGCTACAGTAGTCGTGAAGGTCGCAGCAAAAGGACCGCTAATCAAGGCATAGAAGATGAGGACTCCGAAATCTTTGGCAAAGACCCAGATGACGAGAGAAAACAGGCCGGCCAAAAAGGTACAAGCGAGAGCGGTGTTCAGCCGTCCAAAGCTGTCGCTGACGTACCCTATAACAGGTCGCCCAAGGCCTCCTCCAAGATTGAACATGGCACCAACAATTGAGCCTTGAGATGCGGTCAGGCCTACGGTGGTTGCATAGTCGGGAATGGAGAACAGAAGGGCCACGTAGCCCAACACGCTAAAGCAACCCCAGGCCAAAGTGAGCAGGAATTCTGGTCTTCTCAAAAGCTCTGTATGGAAGGCGATTTGAACAGCTCCAATGGCCTTGTTTCGATCCCTTAAAATGATAGCAGAGAAGCCGCACGCAGCAGCGGAGACGATCGCCAGGATGCGGAAAGCCCAGCCAATGCCCCATCTCTGAATCATGGCACCTGTAGCCAATGAATAGATAAGGCCCCCGATCCCCGATCCAGCCGTTGCAATACCATTGGCAAGGGACCGACGGCGGGTGAACCACTGAGGAATGATGCCAACAGTAGCACTGAATTGCATGCCCATGCCAAATCCAAAGCACAGAGCCTGACTGAGGAACAATTGCCAAACCTGGCCCGCCCATGACGCTCCCAACAATGCCGCAGTCTGCAATGTGATCCCAATCATCAAGGTAAATCTTGTACCCCACATTCGGGTCGTGATTGTTGCGACTGGCGCGATGAATTGAGCCATACTAAGGGAGAGGCCTCCGACAAAGGCGTAGTCGAGGTCTGATGCTCCTGGGAATGTATTTGTGTCCAGATAGTGGGCCAGAAAGACACCATAGACCTATTTGCGACAAGAGTTAACAAATATAGCCTTGTCTAGAAGACCATGAGTGAGGCCTTACACTGTTGATTCCCCATGTATGAGCATTGACCAGAAAGACGCACAGCACACAGATCCAGCCATAACCACCGTCGACCTCTATGGGTGCTGATGATTGAGTCTGTTCGGGGTCGGCTAGATTGTCATCGGATGTGCCATTCTTGGATAGCACCGTCTCTGGACAGTCAGTAGAAGGATGAATGGCGTCGTGGTCAAGCACAGCCGCCGTCATCGTGTAGCTTGAGTCACCGCCCTTCTCGGAATGCATATCTTTGCTCGTCACCAGCAGGAGGGCTTGAAAAGAGTATAATACGAAACAGAATGAAGAGGAAGCGATGCCACAGTTTGTCTTCGATTGAATGGCATACTACTAGATCCATAGGTAGTGATCTAAAAAGGGCCATTGAGATATGATTATATCAGCCCCATATATAAGAAGACATTGGCAAAGTAATTGACAGGGATCTAGTTGTCTATCACCGTGGTTGAGTCATACCATTGTTGCACTTAGTGTAACTATCGGACTATCATAGAAATTGCGTACCCCAGCTTGGCGTGCATAAGGCTATCTAGATATCCCTGTAGATGGCCGCCAGTTATCATAAAATCTTAGATTAAGTGTGGAGACCTCTACTATAGTATCTTCCGGTTACCAGTTGCTTTAACCTTTCTTGATTCGAAGCTAATCCAGTACTTTCCCACGCCTCATTCTGCTGATAAGACACACCATCTGCTTGTCTTCAATGCCTAGACGAGACGATGACATGAAAAGTACTAGTGCATGATCATAGACGGAGCAGGTAAGCGCTGACAGTCACTAGCCGTACTAGGTAGAGTAAGGAAAGGTTCCAATTAAACCTACTACTAGTAGCTGGCGTGTGATTGTTATCTGACATATTATCATGGCTCTCGGCACCAACTGAACATAGTTCAGCTAAGTAGGTATACGATCAATTCACGGCGGCTGACTGAGCTGCATCTTTCGATTCATATAAACTTGATAAGAATTAGGTTACGTTGTATAGATCTAAACGAGCCTCCGTCTTCTATACTAATTTAGATGCTGCGGTAGCAATTGAAAGCACCAATCAGAAGTGCCAAATCAAACGGTTCAACCACCCTCTCCAAAAATCCTAGCCCAACCACTAAAGTAGTAGTCATAAGTAGATAACTTAACGCTAATGCACTCCACAACTCATCCATCCATCCATCTATCCATCCACCTTCTATCAATCTATCATGACCCTCACCCCCCCAACCCGACAAATCTACACCACCAGCGACCGCATAACAGATTTCCTCCACCACATCATCACCCAAGACGCCCCCACCACAATCCTACTCATATGCTCAACAAAGGAACAATTCCTAGAGCAGTTACTACTCGCCTCAAGCTCCGGAAGTGAAGAACATCATCATCAACATAATCACATACTTACCAAAAACACCATCGGGGTGCTGTCCAAATCAAGCAGCATTAAGTTAGTGTACTGCCCGACGCTGGAACATCTTCGAGCGTATTTGTCTGTGATACGATCGCCGGAAGATGGAGTAGGGTTGCAACGAGAGTTGTTGACTACTACTGCCGAGGAGAAGGAAAGGCAGACGAAACAACCACCACCACCACCATCACCACCGTCACTACCTCTGATGGCTATTCTGAACCCGTTGGCTTTACATGTTCCTACTTCGGAGTTCTCTGCTCAGGGGTTGTTGAGGACGTTTGCGGCGGTGGTGGAGGTGGCGGATCGAGGGGGGATGGATCTTGTGCTGTGTGAATGTAGAGATGTTGGTGATTCCATGGGGAGTGGGAGTGGGAATGGGAAGGAGGAGGTGTCATGGCATACGCAGGTGCCGCTGTTGAACAGCTCTGTGCGGGTTGGAGAGGAAAGTACGTCGTATCGAGGGGGTGGGGTACCAGTTAAAAGGGTCGTGCAGCGGTGGTTTGAGTTTAATGATAATGAGGCTCCGATTACAGACACTACAATCATAGACGCCTGACGATTTGAATGACAGTAATAAAGCAAGATATGTACTATAAGACAATGTAAACCCCCCTAAACAACCGGGTATCCTTGAACCAGCCCTAAACTCCCGATTTGACACCGTAATGAATTCCCAAACTTATAGGCATTTCTCCATGTCCGTGATATAGAGTTTGATATGTGACTCCAACTTCAGGTATTCATCGTGAGCGCTTTGTATTTCGCTTTCAATGTTCTCCTTGAGATCGGCCATCTGTGGAAGAATTAGTAAAGCATGTAAGGCTAAAAGCAACAAGAGACATTTACCTTCTTCTCAGTTTGTTCTATCCGGATTCTCCTCCGCTCCATGTCGCGCTGCTTTTCAGCTCTCTCCTCCCGGAGTTGTTTCTGGACCTCCCGGAGTTCCTCCATACGCGCCTGCGCGATTTCGGCCTTTTCTTGAGCATTCTTTCGCAGAGCCTCGATCCTCTCATTCCATCGTGCCAGCTGCCGCTGCAGCAACTTCTCAGTCTGCTCCACCTCTCTAACATTGTTCCCTCGCTCAGAAATGGCTTCTCTATTTCTAGAGGCCCTTGACTCTTCATCATCTTCCTTTTGCAGTTCCACGGATATATCTTCGAGAAGGCGCACGCAGGCCTGCACGTCGTTACTAACAACCGTAAACGTGTCTGACGATGTTTGCAGAGCTCTCGCTCGTTTCTCCATCGCATCGATTTGCGCTTTCTCACGAAGGAGATTCTCCGACAAATCACTCAGCGAGGCCTGGAGAGAGATGGGGCTCTCCATTACATAAGGACGCAGTTTCTCAACTTCTTGCCGCGTACGAACGACCCTTTCTGTCTTCTCCTCGAGTTGCGCTTGCCGTCTTGCCTTATCCGCCTTGGCTCTTTCTAGCATCTCGGCCACTCGCTCTTGGTTGCGCCGCAGTTCGAGTAGTCGCGCTTTCAACTCGTCGTTACGTCGTACCTTGTCCTTAACTTGTGCCTCGTTGGCCTTCATAGTCCGGCGCATTTCTTCGAGGCGCTGCTCCATCTCCTGATTCTCCGTGTACAGGGTGTCAATGCGCGATTTGATCTTCTCGCCCTTGTTGAAGTGCTCATCAATAACGGGCGTTTGAGATTCGCGGAATCTAACAAAGTTGATGAGATAGGAGAATATCTTGACGAGTCGATCATGGGTAGGCTTGGTGAGATCGGTAAACATAAAATCATTGACACCGCACTATATCGCCGTATGCCATGTTAGATCCGACTGAGCTCGTCTGGTTTAGTATAAAGCGGGTTCATACGCACTTCCATCATCAACCGCCGTAAGCTGGTAAAGAACCCCATGAGGTTGCGCGTGTCGGTAGGTACGATGTCGGGGTAGTCGCCGCAGATATCATCCGCCGCAGCTCGCATCGCTGGCTCTACGGTTTCGCGTGTCATATTCATGAGGAGCTCAGCAAACCATTCAAAGACCATTTGAATCTGTTGCGGGTTTGGCTTGATCAAGTCTGCGGCGGTGAAAGGGATGCCGATGTCATTAATGCATCCTGCGATTTCCTTGTCTGGCTGCTAGCAGTGTTAGATATTGTAAGCGAAGATGCCTTGTTCGACCGTGAACTGACCAGGCGCATGAGAGCATCATTATCATCCTCCTTTTTGCGACCTCTATTGTGGTGTTGCTGGGAGCCATGGAATTGCTGGCTCATTCGGCTGCCGTACGCCATGGTTTTTCGCAGTCCAAGCTAGGATGATGAGCTACAGAAATCACTCGAACACGGCCAAGGCAGAGTGGTGGCGAGATTGGTGCCCGCTCGATGGATGTTATGATGATTGTTTACTGCGCAGGACTCGCATGGCAACCAGAAGCGGATTAGCGCGGTGGGAGAGGGGCATCACAGACAAACAATGCAAACTTACTCCACGCTTCCCTTTTTCGATGACTCTTTGCGGCGGCCACAGCGGAATTACCTGTGGACAGTGAACCAGTATTAGAGAGTGCTTTCTTGCTGTGAACGCGAGGTTTTCCAGCTCACGGCTCTCAACTTCTCGGAGTATTATAGCTTCTCGGCGTTCTTCGAACATCATGGCAGCTCCCACATCAGGCTCATCGGCCGCCGCCAAGCCGTTCGAGTAAGTCAACTACTTCACATCCAGGAAGTTCTAGTCCTCTGGATCGCTAATATTTGTTCTTTCCAGCATTGTCGCGACCTACAATGACTTGCTCCGCTCCGACCCAGACCTGACTATGCCAATTGCAGCTATCGAAGCTCTGGTACTACTCCTTACAAACTCTCCCTCCTCGACGATATCCGAGACGCTCGACCTTCTCGAGAAATCTACTGCACACCTGAAACAGTCAATCCCGAACCCCATTGGTCTCTCCGCTGGAACCGATCTCTTCCAGCGGTATCTGATCACTACCCTGCAGAGACCCGGACAGCTCGGGCCCGCAGGTGATTTCAACGCGATCAGGGCGCATCTTCTGTCAAACGGACGGTTGTTCATTAGACGTGCGAAGGAGAGTCGAGACAAGATCGCGGCGTTTGGACGAGGCTTTGTACGCGATGGAAGCACAGTTTTGACGAATGGAGGATCGCGAGTTGTCGCTTCGTTGCTACAGAAGGCTGCGGATGAGAAGGGCGGCCCGTCGGCAGTGCGGTTCAAGGTGATCTATGTCCTGTCATCGGCGAAGGGTACTGGTGCGCATTCCGATGAGCCGGAGGGTATGGAGACTGTGCGCGCTCTCCGGGCGAAGGGTGTTCCTGTCGCTACGATCCCGGAGTCGGCTGTTGCATACTCGATGGGCAAGGCCGACACTGTCATTGTCGGTGCCGAGGGGGTGGTTGAAAACGGTGGAATCGTGTCGCGCATGGGAACCTACCAGATCGGTCTTCTTGCTAAGGCTATGGGTAAACCCTTCTACGTTGTGGCGGAGAGCCACAAGTTCGTCCGTCTCTACCCGCTCAGCCAGTATGATTTGCCGATTGAGCAGCGCGTGATCGATTTCAAGACTGAAGAAGATGTTGCCGACGAGGCGAAGCAACAGCAAGCTTTGTCTACGGATGCAGCTGTTGCCAAGGCCGTCAAAACGGCAGACAGTGCTGATGTAGTTGACTTCACTCCCCCCCATCTGATCTCTGCCTTGATTACCGACAGCGGTGTGTTGACGCCAAGTGCGGTCAGTGAGGAGCTGATCAAGATTTGGTTCTAATTTTCTATTTCCATTCCCTGTCCTTCCATACAGGCATGAGGCGTGGAGCTTGTGATGTCTTTTAAAAACTGAATGAAGCGGATTGGCGTTAAGGTCATGATATCTCCGGATACTCAAGGTGTTTATTGGTTTGCAATGTGATGTCTGTCTGCAAACCTCAAAGAAAATAACAGCTGAATAGAACTAGGATTACAAGTCTGACAAGGAACGTAGCATATTACTATCTCCCAATTTACAAAATGCAGAATCCCGGCATATTGGCTATTCACAGCCACACCCGCCGCCGTTGTTTCATACCACACTAAGATAATCTTAGTCCGCCTCACCGCGTTAGTGGTGTTTCTGCCTTAAGGGGCAGATGTAGCTGACTACTACTACTACTACGTAGTCATCATTCTTGCCTATGAATTACGTGAGACATTCGAAGCGTGTGAGGCAATTGCTCTATACTTGCGTCATAGTATGTTTGTTTGTATTTGTATTGTAAGCCATACAGTTTGCGGGGGATTCTGCCGAGGCTATCCTCATTCAACTTTTCAAGGCAGTAGGCGGTGAAGGAGGCAACGGACTTGCCATATTAGGCTGGAAGTACTCCGTAATGGCTTCCCCTATGATTTCATTCCGCGATGGACTTCCTGTTCATGAACTCCTACAATGTAGTTTATCTAGCCCCCTGCAGCCGCCATTGGCTTTCATTTTCTTACTGTACCACGCTCCAAGCCTTGTTCATGAGGTATCATTCGTCTTACTCCCTGCATTAAGACTGTACACCTGATACCGTCGATCGCAAAAGACTTCCGCCCTACGTCTCCTTGTCTGCGCGCAGTTTCGTATTCGTTTCTGCTGATCGGCCGCTGCACGAGCCAGCCTTACCAGCCCGCGGTCATACTCCGTCTTTTGCTATAGGATCCACCTCAAACCGTCCAGCACTCACCCCCCTTCCTGTCTGTGTCAGCTTTCTGCATGTGTCAGATTTCGTCTATCTATATAACTATTGGGGTGCTGGCTCTCCGGTTCCTTGGATCCATGTGAACCGACGAATTTCTCCTATTGCTTTTGTCCCTGCCCGCAGCATGTCTTCGGCCGTTCAACCACCTAATGGCTCCCCTTTACTACGGCCCCGTGCCGTTCCGGGGTCGAAGAATCTAGACGATTTGACGGCAATTTCCCCCTTGGAGAAAGCTGATTCGAGGTGAGTACTTGCATACGGAATTACTAGAATGGCTGGTGCTAACTTTCCTTACTAGTGGCCGCTCAACCCCGGTCCCCGACGATGCTCCCCCCTCCGCGCATTCAATCTCCACGGCAAGAAAGCAAGCACGAGCCCGGACTCGAATATTTTATACAATCGATTATGTTCCTCGAGTATCCCATTTTGACCCGCGGAGCGAGTACCGCGACTTCCGCGGCTTCTATACCCTATTTTGGATTGCATTGTTTATCATGGTCGTTACTACGATGCTTCGGAATATCAAGGATACTGGCTATCCCCTGAGGATCAGAGTATGGAGCCTGTTGTCAGAAAATGTGTGGTCCATGGGGTTCAGTGACGTGGCCATGGTGGTCAGTAGCGCAGTGGTCCTGCCGCTCCACCATTTCATACGAAAAAGCGGTAGCTTGATGCGCTGGGGAAGAGGTGGCATGGTCGTGCAAAGCATCTTCGAGGCAGGCTGGGCCATTCTATGGATCAAGTAAGTTGGCTCTCACTCTACCTTCGGCTAGATGAAGCAGCTAACTAGGCTCGTAGTTGGCCGTTTATGATGCGCTGGACCTGGACGGCCCAGGTCTTCTTCACCCTTCATACTCTAACCATTCTGATGAAGGTGCACTCCTATGCATTCTACAACGGTCATCTGAGCGAGACGCAGCGTCGACTAGCGTCGCTCGACAAGCCAGGAAAAGTCTCAATGGAAGCGCCAATCCCATATCCAGATGCATCCCCCCGTCGACGTTCGGTAGCCCGGCGTGCGAGCTACCATGCACGCTCCGAGTCGATCGCTGAACTGCGCGAGGACCTGGCCACAGAGCTCACTTCACCCATGGGAAATGTCACCTATCCTCAGAATCTTACCGTTGTCAATTATGTCGACTTTGTGTTCTGCCCCACTCTCTGCTACGAGTTGGAATATCCTCGGAGCAAGGAAAGACGGTGGATCGAAATCGGCTTGAAGACTCTGGCTATCTTCGGATGCATCTTCCTATTGACATTGACAAGCGAAGAGTTTATTCTCCCTGTCCTGACAGAAGCCAACATCCAATTGCACAGGGTGTCAAGCGCGACCGACAAGGCCCTGATCCTCGCGGAGACCATCAGCATGCTTTTGTTCCCGTTCATGGTCACGTTCCTTCTTGTGTTCCTGGTGATCTTCGAATATGTTCTGGGCGCCTTCGCAGAGCTAACTTGTTTCGCTGATCGTCACTTTTACTCGGACTGGTGGAATTCCTGCGACTGGTCAGTGGAAACCTATACAGACAGCTTTTGTAGGTGAAGGCAACTAATCTGGCTACAGGCTCGAGTTCTCCCGCGAATGGAATATCCCCGTGCACCACTTCCTCCGGCGCCATGTATACTTCCCCTCGCTATCAAATTTCTCTAAGCCAGTTGCTATGTTTATCACTTTCCTCGTCAGCGCCATTGCCCACGAGCTGGTCATGAGCTGCATCACCAAGAAGCTCCGCGGCTACGGATTTTTAGCCATGATGCTCCAGCTACCCATCGTTGCGGTACAGAAGTCCAAATACGTCCGAGGAAAGACAACACTTAACGTACTCATCTCCCTCACAACCGGATTCCTGAAAAGCAGGTACTAACTCATACCCTATAGAACCTCTTCTTCTGGCTATCTATGATTTTCGGATTATCAATGGTAAGTTTACCAGTAACCCTACACGCATAAATCTTCACTGCTAACCTACCACAGATGTGTGCGCTTTACGTCCTCGTCTAGACGCACGAAGCCAAAAATCCCTGTTAGCAGTTGGCTACAAATTCCCCGCGACCTACCTGGCACCACCACCATCTTATTCCGAGTCTGTAACATACCATATTCGACGTACATTATCGTTTGAGCTTGTCTTATCATTCCGCTTTACATATATACTACTATACACATATACATGCGCGTTTTACAAGCTATATACCCTACTTGTTGGTTTGGCATTGTATATCATCAGTTGGGTTATGTTTTCTTACACTCTTATTTTCGTTTCCATTTATCAGTTATATTCTGGGAAGGACTATTTCTCGTTAAGAGGAAGACAATAGATTGGTCTATTCGAAGTGTTGATTCTATAGATGGACTCATGTACTATAACACCTATTGTATTGATTGATTTAGATATACTACAACTTAGATGCAGAATGTGAAGGAAAGCAACAGGTTAAAACCAGGTGGGATCTGGATCCTCTCAACGATTGGATTCAGCTATACCGAGCTAGTACTACGACCACTACTTTCTCTATATACCCATATTACGAGTATATGACTCGTTGTCTCAGCCAACAAATCTCGGAGACGCCAGTTACACACAGCCAAATCAAACATAAGACCAAAGAATAAGATACTGATACTGTATATTGTTTCCCAGAAACAAACCCCACTCACCAGTGGCTTCATGCCTGAGTACCTGCCTCTATGATCCAATCTGTATTCCTAGAGCAACGCAGCCAAAACTGAAACGCCGATAATGAACCAAAAAGCAACCAATGACAGAAATATCCCCATGCCAAGAACCTGAAGCACTTGTATTGCGAGAGCGATAGATATCCGGTATCAAACAAAACCTGTAGCGGTGTCTGGTCCGTCAAGGACAAGAGACATGTGACGTCACCGATCAAGGTGACGTACTCTTGGTTTCGAGTTGGGTGTGTGTGATGTGTATCATGCGAAGATGAAGTGAGCCGAACAACTTACATATGCTCAATCGGCTCTTCAGGGAGGAGAATCTCTCGGTCGCGGCGAGAACTAGGAAGGCAGGCTTTGAGCGGCGGGCGGACAATATCGTTGAAGAGGAAGGTTCCGTAGACGAGGAGCGCGAAGCCGACGACTTGTAGCCACTTGAAGGTCTCCCAGCCCAGAGCGAGGGAGACGAGCCAGATGAAGAGGGTCCGGCAGGTGTCAATAGTGCTGCGGGAAGTAGCGGATACGGTGCGGGTGACGGAGAGACCGAAGAAATTGAATCCGCTGAGATTGTCTTCATTAGTATGTTGTTGACGGATAAGGAGGGGTGTTAGGAAGAGACTCACCCAATACTGATCATGATCAAGAAACTGGACATGGCGATTGCTCGGTTATGGAAAACCTGGCTCCATCCTTCCTTTGCATCGAAGTAGCCGTAGCGGCCGGCCTCCGTACGTCCGATGGTCAAGTACAAGATGATCGAGCCAATGACGGTGACAGAGAACCCGAAGATACCTTCCCAGCCAACGACCTGGAGGGGGTCCATTTCATAGTTTTCCAAGATCCACTCTTCCAGAACGAATTGGGACGCAGTGAAGATCTGGGCTGCGGCTATAAGCAGCACACCAACGACAGCTTTCAGTGCTTCCGGAGACCGCGTTGTTGCCTGGACTTCTCGGATAGCATGGGTTACTACGGTGGCAGCACTTCCTTGGGTGACGTCGTGCCCTTGGTTGTCGGCGAAGAGGGCACCTGCAAGACCGACCAGAGCAACACCTAAGACCACAATGAACAGCGCCAACCAATGATAGAGATAAAGTTTGCGGTGGAGGAAAAGAACACTGAAGAGGCCGACGAATAGAACGAGGGCACCGCGAGTCATCTGGTAGACACTGGCAGCAACAAAGAGCAACCCGACGTTCATCAGAGTTGTGCCCGCGATATCGCAGCACGCTGGTGCAGCAAGAAGAAAGATCTTGTATCCTCGAAGGTGAACGCGACCGTCTGCTAGCGTGGCGGGCTTCGTGACATCATCTGAGGCTTCTGGCCCTCTGATGGTATAATCTTCCTCATCGTCGAGTCCTTCCGTATTGTTGACAGGGTGATAACCGCCAGCTAGAAGAGGCGAAGAGTTGTTGGACAAGCGCGGAGCAAGATACCGTTGATACAGCCAGGTCATGAGAATCACCAGCCAGCTTCCCATTTCTCCGGTGAACATCTGAATACTGTCATCCAAAAGGGATTGTGAGCCGACATATGCAGACTAGGGCAAGGAGGGGAATGCCTACGTCTGGATAACGGGTTGCTCGAAGGTGCGACGGTATTTGGGATAGGGCGAATCGCAATTCCACACGCATTGCATGTCCTATTCATCGGGTGAGCGAAGAGGTGTGTGGCATAGAACAGTAGGGAAGTCAGACCTGGTATTTGTTGAGGATGGTGTTGCACACCCCGGTGACGAGCATCATCGTCACCAGGAATGGAACGGCAGCTTTATTCGCCATGATGCCCCGAATGTGGTAATGAGTATGAGGGACAAAAGAAGTGGTTGTTGAATAGCACGAAGCAGGGAGGAGGTAGAGGAGGTACTAAGGGCGATAGATAAGCCACTCGGTGGCTCACGTGGGTGGAGTGATAAGGTGGTCACAGGGAGGGAGGGAGTGGGTTAGTTGGCCAAGTCCGGAGAAGCTGACGATGGGTGGGAAGGCAAGAAGGAATTCAAGGCACATTCAAGTCGAATGGCGAGACTGATATGCGGAAGGAAGCTAGCAAACAGGGAGCTATTGAGCACCCATCCTGGAAGACCGAGGATAATCGATGGGAGAAACACGGAACAAAGCAGACGAGGATGATGGGTGGAAAGATGGAGGGAGAGTTCATTGGGAAGAAGAGCCACAGCTTTCAGGTGGACAGGCTAACCTTATCGGCAGCTGATCCCGGAGTGGGACTTGTCACGGGTCCGTATGGGGCGTATCATTACGGTTGACATACATACGGACGGGACAAAGTAATGAATTAACTCTCGTTCTAGTTAGTTAACACTTAGAGTATGCATGCATCGAGATGTATACAGATGGAATATTGGTATAATTAAAGCTAGACTAGATGGTGCTTCAAAACAGCCATGGGATACACATCCAGTTACCCTCCTCAGCCCTAATTCTTTCTCCAGGCCGTGGCGGTTCTCACTCTTCAAACCATCCCCCGAGAGAGCCTTGCTCCCAGGGCGACTCAGCAAATAAACCCTCTTTTTTTATCACTCGCTCCGTCCAACGCCGCGCCAGAAGAATACCGACCAGTGAAAAGTAAAAAGAAAACACAACACGTCACAGACTAGAAGTGACAAGACCTCCTCGGCTTAATGTACAATAATCATTCGTGGTCCATGCCATAATGACATAATAATCCGCACGCCTTTCGCCGGCTCAAATCATAAAAAGCTTCTCGTCACAGGCTACCTGCCTATATCGCACATATCGCGATGCCGCTATCGTCAACGTTGATCGACCCGTCTTTGCGGTCGACCAGATCCCAATCAAATTCCTCCCAAGGATCCGTCATCATAATTCCATCTTCCAGCCGGCCTGGGAAGGTAATCCAATCCGCTGGAAGCCAGCTGCCCTCACTCCCTTCGGTCTTACCATTGAGATCATCCGTCTTCGGAAGCTCGGTATCCTTGGGTGTTTGGGTTACGAGGCCAGTCTCAACGGAATCCGGAGTGTCTTTCGCTTGCGTGTTGGTAAACATCTCAGGGTTAAGGAATTCATCCATAGCACCGAATCCAAGGCCGCCGTCATCGGCGAACTCCATGAAGGTATCCTGTATCGCGTCGAGAGATATCGCGCTGTTTGCCCATGGATCTTGGGGAGTTGCGTCTGCAGAGGGCCCTGGCTCAGCCATTTTGGCCGGCTCCTTCTTGCCGTCTTTGCCGGCGGTTGGCTTGAGGGGAGATGGCATTGCCGGTTTGGCGGTGGACGTGCGAGGCGTCAATTGTTGGTTCGATGCTGGCGAACTAGGCTTTGGTCCTACTTGGCTGGGAGCTCGCCCCATGGCGGCCGCACTTGTGGGCACTGGAGTGGCCGCCTCGACTTTGACCTCGTGCTTTGAAGGTGACGAGGTTGCAACGACCTTACCATTCACAAGCGGGATGCTCTTCAGGTCCGGAGCCCCACTCTTGTCCTCGTCCTTCACAAGACAGGTGCGGAAGCTCTCCAAAGCGAACTCCAGCGGGTTCTCAATGGGCTCTTCAACCTGGTGAGCCTCTGCGACGTGCCTGTCCAAGGCGTTTTGCGTCGCCAACCCTTGGTAGTGATGCTGACACTCGGGGACACTACACTTAAATGCCCCACCCAAGGCTGCACCGGTCGTCCGTGCATCGGCCGGTTTTCCTGCCTGCGCCTTGGAAGTTGGCGCGGCAGAAACGGGTGTAGCTCCGGTTTGGGACTGCTTGCGTTTCTTGGGGGGAGGAAGTTTCAGCTGTTCCGGAGGAACACTACCCGGGCCATAGGCATGGGGAACACCTTGAGGAGAAGGCGCTCCAAACGGGGCTTGCGGGATGGCAGCAGCGCCAGAAACAGTCTGGCTGGAGGCTCGGCGGGCACGCTGGAGTGCTTCCTCCTGCTGTTGCAATTGCTGCAGATTGCTTGCGTTCAGGGCGGGCATGTTGGGTTGGCTGGCCTGTTGCGCAGGTGCTCCCTGAGAGACGCCAAACCGTGGCCCTGGCATCTGTTGGTTGACGCGCGCAAACATGGTATGGAACAGCTTCTTGATGGAACCAGTGTAGATTCCCAGATATTGTGGCGAAATTGTGAACTGGTCATTGAGAGTCCAATCAGGCCCTGGTTTGAATTGCCTCATTAAGTAGACCCGCTGGAAAGCATCGTCAGTAATGAACGAACCTCAGATATAATAGAAAGGGAAAGCAATCGCATAACTCACCATTGAAAGCAAACTGTGCACATTCTTCTCTTGTCCGGGAATTTTAGTAGCCAGAAATTGAATGAGATTATCCAGTTTACTTAGGTAGTCAGTGATCTCCCGCAGCTGTTGCGCCATGGTTGCCTTTTGCTCTGGCGTAATGGATACAGGCTCCCCTGGAGGAGTGTTTCTAGCAATTTCGTTGTATAACTGCTTTAACTTTTCTGGCAACTTGTTCCATTGTTCCTCTGCATGCGCTCTGCTGATGGGAACGCGAGATTGCTGAGATTGCTGCCGGCGCAAATGTGCCTCGAACTGTGCGCGTTGCTGGGGCGTCATAGCAGCCAATTGCTCGCGAGTGAAAAGCATATTCGCCTTTGCCTGTGTAGGGGTTGCTCCCGCCTGAGAAGGAGCGGGTTTCTGTTCTGGAGTGGGCTGAGATTCTGTAGACTCATCATGTGGCAACTTCCTTTTCTGTGCTTGTTTTGCGACAGGCCCTTTCGCATTCTTGCCAGACGGCACAGACTGGGCCTGAGCCTTTGTAGTAGAATTTTGCTGGGGCTGCTGCGCCGTTTGCTGTGAGGGATGCGGCTCCGGTTTGACTTGAGGCATCGAGGGCGGCACAGTAACCGGGGGCTGCGGTGCTGATAGAGATTGTTGTTGTGCCTGTTGGGCAAGAGCCTGGGCCGCTCGACTCTGGGCCGCCTGTATTTGCTTCTGTCGGTTTCTATGCAGCAATTCGCGGAGCTGTTCATCACTCAGGTTCTGCACCTGACTGCCTAAACGCTGGCGGGCCAATTGAATATCTTGCGCGGAGATGGGACGCATAACCGGCATATTCATTGGCATCTGCTGCTGGCCAGCTTGGAGCTGTGGGTTCATCAAAGGCTGCGGCTGCCCCTGGAACGGTGTCGGCATCCAAGGGCCTTGTCCACCCTGTTCGGGGTTGCGAGCATTCTCTTTGGACTGAGCAAGAATCTGAGCGAGATGGAGTTTCTGCAACGCCAGCAGCTTCGTGATGTCGGCGCCTCCCAGCAGTTGCGGGCTTGTGGCCGCCAATTGCTTCAGCTGACCCCAGGTCTTTATATTTTTCGGAACAGCCGAGGAGATGTTCGGATTGTTGCTCAATATCGCGGGCGGGAAGTGCAATCGATCCATTTCTTTGACCTGCTCAGGAGACATCTCCATACCGCCGCTATGCGCACGAAGAAGTTGAAGCTTATAGAGATCCTGCTGGCGCTGCTGTTGCTGCTGTTGCTGTCGCTGTTGGACGGACATCTGACCTGGCAGCATCTGGTTAGGCTGTTGGGCACCACCCATTCCCGCAAGTTGTTGTTGCAAATTAAGAGACGCTCGTAGGTTCTGCCCATTTTGCATCTGGCCGTTCATTATTTGGCCATTGATCATCTGCTGGCCTTGACTCGACTGCGATAAATTCTGCTGCATGGGCATGGACTGCTGCGAGGCATTTGCCCTAGCCAGAGCCTGGTTGTTTGCCAGCGCACGCCGTTGATGGTTCATAAGAAATGCGCTTAACTGTTCGTTGCTCATCGAATTGAGTTGCTCCTGGATTTGCGGGGGGAGGTTAGGTGGAATCTGTGGTCTTTGCATAGACGGTTGTCCATTCATCTGAATGTTCCCAGGCTGTTGTCCCATTCCCTGGGGTCGGGACGGAGGCCGGGCTTGCGCTGTTCCTTGTGGCGGAGAAATCTGACCTGGAGCCATTGGCCGATTCAACATGGGCATAGCCGGGCTTTGTTGGGACATTTGATGCTGCATTCGCGCGCCAGGTTGGTTTTGAGACATTGCGAATTGTACTTTGGCAGCTGCTTGCACCCGCGCTTGGTCTTGCGCTGACTGAGATTGTGGCTGTGGCTGCGCCTGGAACTGAGATGCCTGTTGAGATCTATCCTGCGGCATAGTCTGTGCATTCTGCACATGCTGCTGGGCTAGAAACTGTGGGCTTATTCCAGAGCCGTTTATATTTGCCTGCGCGCCCTGGCCAAGCTGCTGTCCGACCTGGAACATATTCTGCGGCGTCGTGAATGGTTGCTGATTCATCTGGGAGGAGCTCGCGGGCACCACAAGTTGGCCGGCCTCCTGAGAGCGCAACCCATCGGCCTGTTGTCCCTGGATGTTCTCAACATTTCCAATGAACGACGAGGGATCCAAGCCTTGCTGGCTGCCTACCGAGAAGGAGTTGCGTTGTGCGTTTATCATATTCTGAAACATATGCCGCTGTGTGTTCATCATGGGGTCGCCCATCATGGCACCGTTGGGATCAACCCCAGCACCTGGCGGGCGAATATCACCCCGATTTTTCTTGAACCTCTTCAACTGGTTGAGCGCCTGAGAGCGAAAGAAGTAAGTGATCGGGTCCATGTTTTTCCGTTGCAAATACCCCCGCTGCTCGGGCGTCATGTTCTGCAGGTTCATCTTGATTTTCTCGAGATCCTCTGGCGAGGTCTTCGAGATGATCTGACTCGCTATGCGACAGACTTGTTCGTACTCGGAAGCGGAAAGGGTGTTTAAATCGTCCGAAAGCGCTGCCCCATTCGCAGGCTTTTGTTGCGGGCGCTGTTGCTGTAATATGTTCTGATGTTGCTGCTGCGCTTGCTGGCGGTGTTGCATTGCAGCTTGTTGGCTCATGTCACCCATGCCCATCGA